CAGGAACTCCTTAGCATGTTAGGCCACACACCCCTAATGTAGCCAATTCTAATGAGTTTCTGATGTTGGGTGTGGCCCAGAGGTCATTTCGGGGGGGAACACGGGGGAACGCAGTTCCCCCGGGTGAGGTGCAGGGGGGCGGGGCACATGATGAAGCCCCGCCCCCTGCTTCCGGCCGCCCCGCTTCCGGCCCTCATTCAGCCAGGAGGAGGCAGGAGAAGAGGGAGGGTAAGTTGCTTCCTCCCTGCCTCTCCCCACCCCTGCCTGCCTGGGGCCAGGGAGGGCCTTGGCGAGGCTTCCTCGCACTCCCGCTGGCCTTGCAGGTCCACCGCCGGGCCCCTGATGTCAGGGGGTGTGACATATGCTAATGAGTTCCCCTAGCTCTTTTTCTACGAAATGACCCCTGACAGTTGTAACCTATTTTTTATTCAATGTATTTGTAATACAGTGTACTACTTGTAGTGGTTAAGTGCGCGGACTCTAATCTGGGAGAACCAGGTTTGATTCCCCACTCCTCCACTTGCACCTGCTGGATGACCTTGAGCAAGCCATAGCTCTGAAAACAGCTGTCCTTGAAAAAGAGCAGTTTCTGTTAGAGCTCTCTCAGCCCCACCAACCTCACAGGGTGTTTGTTGTGGGGCGAGGAAGGGAAAGGAGTTTGTAAGCCACTCTGAGATTCCCTTGGGTAGTGAAGGGTGGGGTATAAATCCAATCTCTTATCTTCTTCTTCTTCGTTCTACTGATATATGCCAATAAAGTCTGACTTGACTTGACTCTCTCCGTTTGTAGGATTATTTACCAAATCATAATGTTAAACCATTATGCATTTTTCTACTTCCGATAGTGCCAGTCAGTGATGTGATGTGAGGGTAGGGTAAGTGTCACAACATGGGCAAGTACCACTAAATGTTCCAAGGGAGACAAAACGGTACACGGGGATGCTCATCCTAGACAAAATAAATATTGATATAAGATCAGCTTACCCAGAAAGCTAACAAAGATCCAAAATTTTAATCACTCACTTTAATCTGATTTTGCAACATGCTCTAGTGCTTAAAATTGCTGTTTTGATTTGATAAAGGAAAAGAGTTTAAATGAACCACAGCTTAGTCTTTCCTGCCGCCATAGTCAACAGAAGCAGATGAAATAACTCATTTTCCCCTACCTTGCTTTTGCAAGACGGCTTCTTAACTCCAAATCTTTGTGTAACTCTGTCTGTAGCAGATTCTTGCCACTTCCCATCTATCTGGCACTGTGCTTTTATTTCATACTTAATAGCTCGCTCCTGCTTTAAGCTAACAGGGCTGCATTCGGCGGTGAAAAAGGATATAATTGGATCTGCATGTCTGACTCTCTGAAATGACAAAAGTGAAATCAGTTCTATGTTTACCTGTGAGCTGGATGATTTTTTATTTATTTTTTTAGATCAACAACTCAAAATTCTGAACTACGGAAGTCCTAATTCTGTGCTCAGGACACATTATGCAAACTGTTAAAACTGCCACTTAATTTTCATAGTTCAACGTGACTCTAATGCTTGGGTTTCTTAAGAGCTCAGACTATTTTGGCAAGGATTGTGGAGGGAAGAGTAACAGAGGAGGGGGGAAGCACAGATGCCCACCCTCCTAATCCTGTCCACATCTCCCTTTCAGTGCATTATTCTCAAGACACCACAGGGCTCCGTACAGGGGCATGGGAGACCGGCATCAGCTCCATACAGGGCAATCCTATAAAGAATTACTCCAGTCCAAGCCTACTGAATTCAATTGTTTTAGACTGGAATAACTATGCACAGGATTACAATGGTAGTCACTATGAGAGCAATCCTAAACATGTCTACTCTGAATTCTACTATGGTCTTTTCAATAGGGCTTACTCCCAGGAAAACATCTTTAGGATTGTGCTATATGCTACCAGGAAAGCTAGTCAGAGTTAGAGATTACAAATCCTTAAAAAAAAACTGGCAGAAAGCTCTGGGCCCCTGGAATCCTTTGAGTTAGCTGATCAAAAGGAACCAATCAACTTGATATCCCCATATATATACCAATGCCTGGCACTAGTTTTTAGTCTGAGCCACTGGTCAACAAGGGACCAGCTAAAGCACCTAAAATATCTGGATCATGGGGCTCTAGAACTATTGAAATGGCACATCCAACCTGCAAAGATTAGATATTTTGACATTCCCTAAAACTATACGGGAGGATTACAGACAAAGTGCAGTTTTGTGTAACCCCACAAAAATGAATGGGAGTCTTGAGGGAGCATGGCTCTTAGAAAACATGTTTAATAAATCAGTCTTCAGTATTTCCTCCTTCATACAGAAAAGTTGATGGCATACCCTTTCTCTTTGTAATTTATCACTTCCAGAATACAGCACAGTTTAGTCTTTTATTCATCCGTCTGAAGCCTAAGGATGATTTCATACATTCACACCATATTGCATTCATTACTACATGTCTCCTTTAGCTTGGAACTGTGCTTACTACATTCAAAGAAGTGGAAGAATCAGAAAATGTTCATTACTTTAAGTCCCATCAATTTCAATGAGATTTAAGTAAGCACAGTTTGTAAATCAAACATAACAGGATTTAAATATGTTCATATTTGGCTAAATTGAGCCAATGAAACCAGAATAACAGCAGTAGTTCACTTACTTGCATGTAAAAACTGTATGCTGAAGCTTCATGTTTTATTGCTTTTATCTCAAAGAAGAAGCCATAAATGGAAATTATTTCTGCATGGTATCTTGGTTCCTAAAGCACTCACCAGAAATTAAAGAAGATAATTTTATCTCAGAACAATACCAACAAAATATAGCAAAGGACCTCTTAAAAGGAAGAAATAACTCATAAATCCATTAGCAAGGGAAAACTTACTATGAAATCATCTGAAGTTATAAAAAATGTAACTGACCATTGAACCACTGCACATATGCTGCAAGAATATTTCAAAAGTCCACATAAAAATAAGTTGCAGAGAGTCTATGAAAAGATTTTTAACAGTGAGAATAATTTGTAACTATGAACAGCTATTAACACATTTCAAAGTATTCTCTTCCTTGTGATAAAAAAGCAGCAAAGGGTGCAATACAATATATGTTTAACTGAAATCTGTATTTAAATTTGGCTGAATTATGTATAAAGGTATGAAGGCCCACTTGAAATCAGATACTTTCATCTTTTTGTTCCTCTTTATTAACGTGGATAAAAAGTGTGTCTGCCTGATGTAAAGAGGATCCTGAAAGATGTTGGACCTTTTCTACCACCATAAACTGGGGGAAGATATATAGCAAAATTATTTTATATATTCTCTAATTGTTTTTGATCAGCAGGACATGTGGTACAGAAGGCCCTGTTCCCATGTTACATATGAGATGTCGCGCAGAAACCACCTCCAGGTGGGGCCTGGAGATCTCTTACGATCACACAACTGATCTCCAGGCAACAGAGATCAGTTCTACTGCATAAAATGGCTGCTTTGGATGATGGACTGTTTGGCATTGTACCCTGCTGAAGTCCCGCCTCTCCCCAAACCCCTGCTCTCCCCAGGCTCCACCCCCTAAATCTCCAGGACTCTCCCAACCCAGAGTTTATAGGGGGCAGAACTCAGATTTGGTGGGAGGGACTGTTTGGTGAAAAATGTCTCCCTGAAACATATCCTCTCTTCTACTAAGTTCATTTAAGTGGGACAGCTGTGAAATGGAGTCAAAATAAGGGCAGGAAGGATCATGTTCACTATGACTTGGTCTGGCTACAGAGTCATTACGTCGTCTAAATTATATGGCTTTGTGACTTTATCACATAGCCTAATCAAATTGTTGTCAATATGATCACTGACTGGCTAGAGATTATTATCATTATACTACCCACTTCATTCCTTGAAGTCACCAGCACCTTTTGGAGAATACTGCTTTGACAAGGAAGAAAAACTGGTTTTACTTGTGAATTTCAGAGAAGAATAGAATTCTCATAATTCCTTCTACAATGTTGTCCTCCCAAATTCCCAGATTTCAAATATTTCTGTGGTGGCTAATGTGAGGGAGATTTGTTACCAGCATATTGGCCTTACCCACGAGCCCACTTGGTTTAGCGGTTTTTCACATTCTAATGCAAAGCTACCTGTGTAAGCACCAGACCAAATCTCACCGCCTCAGTGTTAAAGTCTCTCTGGAATGCCATGTCACCACCATTCTCAAGCTGAAACATGAAAGATATCCCATCATATGAAATTCATGAGGGCTGATACTTTACAATAAAACATAGTTTTGAATAAAGCAATAGAAAAAATGCAAACTATCGTTCTTCCCAAGTCAGCCATGTTTTGATGATCCCCATATCATCAGGTATTGTACATTACCACGTTTGCTCTGCAGCAATCTAAATCGACTTTAATGGTTCCTTATGAAGTGTATCACTGGTCTTGCTTACAACATCCTTCTTGAAAAGAGGCATTGTGGATTCTAGAGTGCTGCTGAGCAGGAGTCAGTGCTTGGCACTCAGGAACCTAATCCCGTCTGTCCTAGTTCATTCATATACAGATGTTCACCACTCCATTCTAGACATGTTACTACACAGGCTTCAAGCGCAAGATGACTAGGTGCTCCTGGAAGGAAAGTGAGACTCCTTTCCTTTCATACCATCCCCACAGGATCCTGACTAGTTATCTGATTCCTTGTCCTAGTGTAAACTTCCTAAATCCTTTCTACACTTGGATTTCATCCCTGGTTTTAACAGAGTTCAACTCATGACACAACACCTTGCATTTATCCCTGGTTATAACAGCATCTGTTTATCCCAGGACAAGTGTGGGGCAAAACCAGGGTAACCTCAATGTAATGTGGAAACAAAAAATATCCTGAGATAATTACAGGGGTGAACTTGAGTGTAGTATAGAATGTAAGTTCAGGGACAGGGTTGAACCAGGATCTATTTATTTATTTATTCAAATTCTTATCCTGCCCTCCCAGTCTAGGCTGGCTCAGGGTGGCTTACAAGCAGATAAAATTCCAACACTACAGGCAAAACACATCAACAATTAATATAAATACAATATTAAAATCAGATGTCTAATGCAGAATCACCCCTAGTTTGTCTGCTGTACTCTGTAAAGTGCTATGTATTCTGATGATGCTATTTAAAATTTTAAAACAATGATTTAAAAAATAAAAATCACACAAGAGGACGAATGTATTTCAGTTCCCAAGATCCTGTCATGATGGCTTCAACATCTGCACTGAATAATATGAAATCAGTGTTTAAAGTTTTATTCAAACAAGGGTCTTTAATGTTTCCTTTATTTTAAAAATCTATGCAAAAGCCAGAAGAAAAATATGTACTGTTGTACGCAATATAGTATTCTTACGCTATTGAAACATTCAATAAAATACGGTGATATAAGTTTCACGTCCACAATTAACATTATTTTCATTAAACAATGTTAGAAGGCTCCACAAGCCAACCTACCTTTATCTGACCCTCTGTCTTTAGATTTTCTTCCTTCCCTACTCATGGTAGCCTCTCCTCAGGAGAAGTCTGGCATGGTAGCTGCTAGCATACAGCCAGGGCCAGTTGCATGGTAGCCTCCAGTGCTGATCCAGTTGAAGTTGCACAGTGGCTGCTGGTAACACCACGCCAGGCCCAGTACCATGGTGGCCACCACTGTGGGGCCAGGCTGGGACAAGCCTAGTGGTACAGTGGCTGCTGCCACCTCTGGGATGGCCCGTCTCTCAGCCCCACTCACCCACCATTTCCTTCTGTCCTTCCCACTCAGCAGCCAATCTACCCCTATCTGCCCATATGTCCTTTCCCACCCCCGACAGCCTCTCTGTGGGGAAAATCTAGTTGGCCTGTGTGGTGGTTGCTGCTGGGCCAGGCTGGACTGAGTTGTGCAGTGGCTATTGCCGCTAGGTCAGGCTGGGTTTCATGGTTGCTGGCAGAGATGCATGGGTGGTATGTTTCTGGTAGTTGCTGTGGGGCCTGTCCCCACTGAGTCCTCCTCCATCAGGGGACATGACGGTGGGAGGAACTTTTTCAAGGGCTGTTTCAGCCTCCCAGTCCACTCTTGTTGTCCCCCACACATACACACTTTTGCTTTACAGAAACCAAGGGTTGGTGATATTGTGGTGGTTGCCTAAAGACCCCCAACAGATATTGAGAGTTCAGTACGTATTCTTTTCTTAAAGCTAAATGTGTTGTTTCTGTTCTTTAGGGCAATTTTTTTCCATATATATATATATATATGTAGCTCTGGGATTTCCTTTAGATTT